ACTTTTTTAATTGTATTCTCTCAATCTCTGTCGTATCATTTAGGAGTTTTTCCTCAAACTAAGCCATCATGGGTATCTAATGAAATCGATCAATCACAGCTTAGAGGGGTATTTCAAATCTTCAGTGTACTCATAGATGGATTGATTAAGACAGTATGGTCCAGGATTTCCCAGTCATCCAATTTAATTGCTGCCTGCGAATGTGAGTTTATCATTGATAAGTCTTGCTAATTTGAACGCTTTATTTGGTTCCTAAGCTATTCTGGTAACCCGCAAGCTACACAGCAACCTGAACACGAAAGAAAAGGTGCAAATTAAGTGAAAAGCACTTTACTCCGAAGGTTCATTTTTGTACAAAAAACACGGGTATTTATAGATTATTAGCATTTTTCAAATCAACATTATATTTTGGCCAGTCCGCGAAGAGACATATTATGCTACTGACCAATAGTAGCATGCCATGTTAATATTCTAGAAAGCTCCCTCATGCTCTGATTGGCTGAAACTCTTCGGCTCCTTTAGCGCATCTGAAGGCTCCGTTGTAGTTCTCGGAAGCCGATTCAATAATCATATTATTGGTTGTATGTTTGGTACTTACTGTAAAGCGGTTTTTGACAAAACCCCAAATACTTTTTCCGTTAAGTGGTTTTTCTCAATATTCTTACTGTTATTTCATTTATTCTTCAGATGTAGATGATCAGAATTATTCTGTGAATAGCGCATCACGTGGTCGAAGTGTATCCATTGGGTTATTAAGTGATATTATTACCGCTATTCATAATGAAGTCAATGAGCATCCTGATACTCAAAGCTGCGGCCACATCACTTCATCCTCTTTGGATGGTTTACGCGAACATTTGCAACATCACCTTTTCTGGGCTGAGTCAGTTTTGGGGAACAATCAAACAGAACTTGTTAATTGTTTAGTTAGTGTTATTTTTAGAGATCGATTGTCGGATGCTTCTCATAGTGAATACGCAACATGGCTAAGAAATTTTGGTGAAAATCTCCCTGAACACTTGGTTGATACAACAGCATCATTTGCCAAATTATGTAGGGTAAGGTATTCATAAATTTTGACTTCCTACATATTCATTTTTTCTTGTTTAAGAGTAAAACCCCAGCTGGTTATAAAAGCTACTTATAAGTTCTTATTCTTTAATTCGAATGAATTCTTATATTCCCACTTGATTTTCAATGTGGCGACGTGAACCGATTCAGATGTTTGTTGTTTATGACTGACTAGATCTCGTTTGCTTAGTCCAGATCAATCTGTTAACACTTTAATGACTTTTAGGGCAAGCACATATACTGTTTTTTTCAGATGCATGCGCCTGGATTACTTGCTAATTGTCACAATAAAGTGTTTCATCCATAATTCTAAGGAAGTGAGAATTCATTTGACATTATTAGTGTTGGCAGCTAACTTTGGCATATTAACATGGTCTTACTTTGGATTTTAATGTTGTAGGAATTGTTATATTGGTTGATTTAATTAGTTAGTTGTCACAACGGTCTAAACGTCTGTAGTCTTTTTTGGAACCTGAATATAATTACCTACAGATTTAATAGTTTACACTTGTAAAGTCGTTTTATAACTGATGCATCTATCAATTATTTCCTATCCTTTAATTAAATACTATAGTTTGTAAATTTCCATTTCCATTTTAATTCCTTAAGTATATTGTTTCTTCGCAATTGGATTTGTGGAGAGCCAGTCCAACAAATACCGGATTCGGTAATACCCTACTGATGACTCTGAAGATTGCTTGTACAGATCTTCTGTGCTTAACAGACATCCTTACAAATCATCTTGCTTCTTCTTTGGGTATTGAACTACACACTGAATCAAGTTCTGAAAGTTCTCAAGGAATTCGAAACCAAATGTTTGGCATCACTTCAGGCTTTGATATGTTGTTGGATCATTTAAATTCATTTTTGCAAGCGAACGAGGGTAAGTGTATAAGCTGTTTTACACTAACTGAGCTAATTGTTCACTAGTCTTTTCAACTGTTTATAAGCTATTCTAGGCGTCACTAAGTGTTGTTAAACAACTGTACATTGCTACTACTGAAATATATCATGCTCCTTTGGAGATTTGATCCGTATCAGCTGGAAAATGTTTTTCAAATTGGTGGCTATTTTGCACTTTTTTAAAACTGCACCGACAGTTAAATCAAACTCTACAAAGCCATGTTTTGGATAGTTAGTTCTCAAGAACACCCCAAAAATTATAAATACCCAAGTTTTTTCTCATGTACTAACGTCGGCTGAAGCCCAGGATATTTGATTTTTTTTGTACCCAGTAGTTTAAGGACTTGATTGGGTTGCTTGAAGTATAGCACAATGTAGGTCGGATATTTCCGTCTTGTATTCACTCATTCCTTTAATATCCGACGTGAGTAACTGGAGCCAGGTTATGGTAGTGGCAACGGTTGTTTAAAACCTAGGAACAATTGACTTGCCTGAACTAAATTATAAGTTTTTGCAGAAACGCTATTTCGAAGGACATTCTTTGATCGAAGTAAACGACGAACGAACTATTTTATCATGACCTGTCGGACACCTGCAAAAGGTTGGTATTTTTCCATAAATCTTCAGTGATGTAAAGAGGACATACGTCATTTCCAGTATGATATTTTATTAAATACTTGTATTGACTCATGAATTCAGCTATTAAAATTATTATAATCTCCACAAATCCCTATTCTGATTTCATTAAATTGTTGTTCATTCTTTTCTCAATTTATAATTTCTATAGATGATGAAAACTTTGACTTTGCTCAAGACTTTATAACAGGTTTTGAGAATTGTATTAAATCGTACTGTGATATGGATGAAACCACATTACGTGCCAAGGTGACACACCAAAAGTCCTCATATATAGAATTCAGGAAATCCAAAATCCCTTCACCTATGATGGTTGACCCGGTTAGTCTCCTTTTTTATTTTACACATAATATTAGATGATCATGCGAACATAGTAAAGCGGTTGTCTGGTAAATTTATAAGTTGTATTTACAAGTGGATTGAATGTGTAAATATGATTAAACGTGAATTATTTATATTATATACAAATCAACTTTCCCTTACAGGAGTGTTCATTATTTCTTTTAGTCAAATGGTGAAATCCAACGAAATGTATTTGATGAAGATTTGCACGGTGATGATTTACCGTTTGTAGACGCATATTCTGATTTGCCTTCGGATGAAATGAGCCGTCCTATGTCAGCTGCTTCAAAAAATAATAGTGATGTGCTTACTGGTCAGCTTAAATTACAATCAAAAATATCCTCCTTACCTGATTGGACTCCGAAACCAGGAGAATTGCCTGACAGTAGGATAAATGGACTTGACCCTAATCCGAATGCTACTCTGCCTATAAGTAATGACCTATCAGTTCCAAATGAAACAGAAGGTTGGCACGCTGTTTTACCTCCTGCCTGGATTCATGTAGTCACCAGCGATATATCTGCTATGTCACATAACCTTCCAACTACTGATGATCCTAATCAATTCGGGCGATTCAGTGATGGATATATAGCAGGCATGCCTGCGAAAAGACGAAAGGTAATAAACTTTCTGTTTATTTTTCCCTATTATATATATATAACACTGCGTCCCATAAATTATATGGCAACGATATATACAAACTTTTGTAAGTACATCGGTTAAAGAAGGCCAAATATTTTGAAATGCGAACTAATGAAGCCTCATATTTTCATTACGATGTAGGATTACACATGTTTACTAAAAACATATCATTCGCAACCTCAACTTGGAAACCTGAAAGAAACAGAAAGATCAAGAGACACTAGGTCGTAAACTAGAAGCAGACATTAAAAGAATAGCAACTAGGAAGGATCATTCAGGACTGAGTTCAATAGAGAATCCTGATCGGCGGCCTATGCTCCACCGCGAGGGGTAATAGAAGGAAATTAAATTTGGAAACGTTTTGTGTAGGCTCGAAAAAATGCCATGAAATCTCTACTTGAATCACTCAAACTGGGAAATCTTAGTTACATGGCAGAATCAATATCAATAAACAATTCCTCTAAAGTTTCAGAAATAGAAGTTATGACCGTTGTATAAAATAAATAAGTAATCTGATTAGGTCGCTTTTCAACGTGCATTTCCTGAGACGAACAAGAATCCCATTGAGATGTATTCTCTTCTCTATTTTAGCATGATGCCTATTTCTACGCTCTGGTTGGCACATTTTGGGGGATCCTTATTCTATTTATTATTCTGAGATATGTTTGGTCTCTTTCTTTATGGCTGTTAATGGTTGAAGTTACTTTATGCCAAAATTTGTTTCACGATGACTTTGTTCGCATTATACATCCCAGTGTTTAATCACTTCATGTTCGTTGTTTTTTATACTGTTCAAATAGGTTATGCAAGAACACTCAGCATCTTTGTTTCAATCACCTGATCAATTATTCATAGAATGCTTATCCGATGCTGTTGCAAGTGATCATGTTAATAAAGAGAAAAACGAATATTCGAATAATGATGTAGAAGATAAATATAGGTCGAGACTCAGAAGACTACCTACCGCAGACATTGAACTCGTAAACTCTTTGAGAGAAGTTGTCACAGACCGACTAGCAGTACGTTTGACGAATGACCCAGACTTTGATACAGCACAATTCCCACTGTCTACTCAGAAATTTTTAAAACGAGATCCAAAGGCACGAATTTAACCTAATTTAGCTGTTTGAAGGGATGAGTTCCTAGCTTGTTTGACCTAAAATATTTTACTGGCATATAGCAGTGGCTGTTATAAGAAATGGATTTCATACTATTCAAAGCAGGATACCAAATTTCATTGTGTATTGTCATTTTCAAAAGTATGTATGTTTACTTTTAGTGTCAAAAACTAACAGTATGATGTCAGGTTTTATTTCCTTTTTATGAATTTATCGCAGTTTATGGTTCTGGACGTTACGAACCCGTGTATGATGTTAATAGCCATAAAGTTAAATAAAAACTCAAGTTTGTCACAAATATTATTTTTGGAAATTCCCTATTTAAAAAATGTGATAAAATCATCTTCATAGATAAACAAAAAGACTATGAATGATTTAACAACTTTACTGATGACTTGGCATTACGTCTATAAACAACAGGGTTTTCAGCCTTCTGTGGGCGATGATTTTGAATAGTTTCTTCTACTGGTTTCCCAGTTTTCGATACGCGACTCGATCGAAACAACCAAGGTACAACATAAAAGTGCCAGAAAGTCCATAATACTAAACCGATTAAAACCAACGACCAGAAGATGGATATGTGCCTGGGGAATGGTTTAGTAATTATATCCCAACCAAACTTCATTACTATCAATAATTCAGTTATAATAATGCTTGAAATCATCCATGCTTGTCTCCCAAATCGTTTGCATTTACTAGAAACGGAGAAAAGTACTGAGAATCAGTAATTTATAAAGTACAAACAGCTTTCATATACATGCACATTGGCACTTAATTTGAAAAAGTACAATAATAAGGCAGATGTTCTTCATTTGTTTTTACTAAATAGTAGATTCATTGTCTGTTTGGAAGTTATACGAATGTAAAAGGTTAATGAAGAATACGTCTTTCGCAAGCCTTTGTAAATCCCACTTGTTTTATTTGATCATCAGAAGATTTAAGAGCTTTTTTCTATCTGCAACAGTGTGAAGTTTAGTTGAATTGGTTTTTGGAGACTTGCTTAATTCGTGAGTAGTATACATCATAATTGGGTACATTGAGTTAGCAGGCACTAGACAATTGATTTGTCTGTGCACCCGGTGATATTACATTCACGATACAGCACAATGAACACCCAGTTTTATTTCTGGTGACTGTTTTATTTCCAGAATGTATATCTTCCATCAGTCACAATTTTCCAGCGGAACTCAAGGTGTAGATTTCAAATAGATTCACTAGTGAAGACACGGTCATAGTTTCTTCAGGACAGGTTTCATTTTTAGTTGTTATTCGTGAAAAATTGACCGCATATATCACTAAAACTAAGAGGCACTAAATAGTTATTTTGCATCCTGTAACAGTAATGATAAACAACCAAACTGACATCACCTAGAATTTTAAATTCAAGTAATACAAATAAGCGATTTTTTATGGGAAACGTTCTGTGGTTGTACAACCTCATCAAATAATGGTTACATGGAGTCTAACGAATCTTCATTTACTTTCCTTAAGGAGCCAAGTTAATTGGTTGGGATGCTCCTTAAATTCGATACACTTATAACTCTCGAAATTGCTCCTTATATGTCCTTACTAATCTTGCCTAGTCCTTATGGCTTGATTATGAAAAAATTCATATTTTGAAAGTCTGTAATCATGTGTTAGCATTTTGAAAAATAATAACATAGAAATTCTACTATTTCACTCTTACTGAATTCACTTACGGATCATCAAGGTATTCAAAATATTCACGAATAGCAGTGGCTCCCATCAAGGTCAGAAAGATTAGACGTCCAAGACACAAAAAGTGAGGAGGTGGTACCCAAAGTACGAATTTCAAGTAAAAAGTATTCAATTCTGCTGTAAGTATCTAAAAATTGTGGGGAAAAATTATAGAGCATAGGTCTACCGTAATTAAGTTCAAAAGATTGGAATGAACTGTTTGCAGGGAACTTTACATTACTTCACTGTGGTAGTTGTCGTACTGTGGCTCCTATGTTTGGTTTAGTCTGGTTGTGTTTGGACAGAGGTCATGACGAGATTTAAACTAATAGTCATATCGTTTCGATGATTTAATGTATTTTGTCTTAACTGATGAAATTTAGCAATATTCAGAACAAGTTATTCCATGGATAAGAAGTAATATTGTTTTATTAGAAAAGTAAAGTAGTTGGTTAAAAAAATAGCGACTGTGTATCAAAATTGTCTTTTCATAATGTTGATATGATCGATAAGAATAGATGACCACTAAAGAGATCGTGTTTTAGTCGTAAATTTATTGCTTTACACGGATAAGCGATGATAATTTGACGCAAAACAATGCTTATAACATTCAAAAAACCACAATACTTACTGCAATCGCAAGAACCAAAGTCCCTAACCATCTCTTTAGACTTCCAGTCGGACGCCAATCGAAATCAGTCCATCGACGAGGGGTAAACTGCAACATAACTCTACGAAGTTTGCCTCTGTATAAGGTAATGTAGAGAGATGAATGAATTTATAGTCATTAAGTTACCGAACCGCATAACAATAATTTTCGGCGCTAGTCAATTAAACTAATTCAGAATTACTCTGTAAATGAATCTTCAGGAAACATTCTGCTCTCACTCTAGAGTCCTAGCAACTAAGCCAAAATGTCTGCTTTGATCCTATATGTCTTTTCCAAAAAAACAGACTATACAATACATTTCCAAGCAGCGTCATTAAGTGATCTAAAAATGTTTTCTTAATCACTTGATCTGGGTAACAGTAGGTTTTCGATACATCATCAGATTATATTGTGTTTTATTTCATCCTAATTACTTTATGAAAGAAACAGTCAGTAGTTACAGAGAAAAATAAGTGCGAAATTTCATATCAAGTTAGCGAGATGTCAAAGTACTTTCAAGCACTCATTTTATGAATTTTAGGGAAAGGAAATAACGAACCCAGATAAGTTCAGTAACTAGGGAAATTTTCAAATTTGAAGAAAACTACTTATAAAACTGGGTATATGTAACCAGGTAGATATAAACTTGAGGTATAGTTCAGGGTTATTTAGCTCAGAAATATAAAAATAATTGGATGAGTATGATCACCAAAACACAACTATCATAGATCCTTTTCAATATCAATCGATTGGTCATGATTCTTTAGTTTCTACTTGTTCAGTAACATATTCATTGAGAATAAGTTTCGTAAGAATGTTATCACTCCGATCACCTCAATTGTTTCGTCAGATTATCAAGGCAATTGGACCTTGAAAAACTATTTCATTGTGTGAATGACTTTCAACACATACAACGCATCCTTTTTAGCACATGTGATTTCACAACTGACAAGAAATTAGTGTTAAGTTGATTGATGTAATACGACAAGCATTACAGGACTAAACAAAAATGGCGTTTCTTGCTACTCAGTGATCAACCAATTGTAAATGTTTTACGAGAGGTCAGTCGTCATCCGTATATCCAAGTAGTAATGTCGTATCGTGACGCAATTTGAATCTCACAAGGAACATCAGTTTCCTGAACATTATAGGTACACCTTGCTATTGGCCTAGACGGAACATCCATTCCCTAACCTAAGGCTGAGTTTATTGTGCATTAGTTCGCTGTTCTACTTTATGGACGTGAAACATGGTCATAAAGAGTAAAGGATATTCACAAGCTATTATTATTTGATCAAAAGTGTCTTCGAAGCATCGATCGTGTATTTTGCGACCGAGTGACCGGTCCTGAGGTTAGGCATACGGAACTAGGCAAACATAACAAATCGATTGATGAGGTGCTGTGTTTACCAACTGAGTTGGTCAGGACATTTGTTACGTATGTTTATCCACCGCATACCTTGAGGGTGGTTGCAGAAAAGCTAGGGGTGACTTGGGTCAGAATCATTCACAATACCGTGGGTGCATTTACTACTTTTCATTTAGAATCTGAATTTCGTTATATCTTTGTTTTATTTTTTTGTACCTCATCTTTTCTACTACTACTGATACTGTTACTGCTCTGACCTTTCTGAGCCTTGTCTTGGAATGTTTTCATCTTGCTGTGCTAATGTGGTATGGCAATTTGAACTGATGCATATGTGTGAGATTCTAAATTGCGTATAACTGACCGACTGATTAATTGAATGGAACTGATAAAACGCGAAAAAATATCTAGTATAATCAGGGATTTATACTGAACACATACAAAAATGACCCACATTTGAGCTAATATACCTTGAGTTGCACTAAATTACATGCTGATGTTTTGATAGGGAAGAGATAGTTAACAATAAGAGCTACGGAATATGCAGAGTACACCAAAGTAGTTGTTAGAATTGCTGAAAACGACGGTGCACATAAATAAATCTTTCAAATACATAGTCAAATTCGAAAATAACAATTCTAATCAATAGCAACATCGAAAAAATCTCCACGAGTTGAAGTTTAAAAATCCGAGTTTTTAAAGTTGGCTGAGAATTCTATATTGTACCAAAAATATAATATTGAATAAAGCCATAGTGATAATCTTGACCGTTCAGACAGTTTTTGACACATTTCGGATGCTGAGTCATCGAAAACCAAGACGCACTAACAATTAATTCATCCTATTTTAGGACTTCAACAGTTCTCACAGTCGAATTCGCCAGAGATCGAACTCGAGAGCTTGAGATTTTGAGGCTATGATGGTACTCCGAGACCGAATATTAATATTCTCAGCTTCGGTTATTTTTTGGTGCGGGGCGATGACCACGCTGAATCGCCGCTTCCCCACAAAAGAACGAACAAATCTTAATTGTTAGATTTAGCAGTGTTGTGAACTTCGAGAGAAAGAGACGATAAATCAGGTTTAATGTAGTTCAATAATAAAATGAGAATAAATAAAAATTACCTGTAACTGGGAATATTCCACATGCCTCGCCAATGATACGGTTTCATGCTTAAATAATTGACTGTTTTCATGCCTAACCAAATTCCAAGAAGGTTGCAACCTAGAAAATCCATGATCCACTGTATTTTTTATATTGTTAAAAGAAAAGTGAGAACATAAATATAACGTGAAAAAAACAAACTAGTAACTGGGAAAAATCAAGCAATGTTTTATAGTTCTTGTAGTAACAAGTAAACATTTTATGAAGTAAGCGCTTCAAGCACTGACAATCACAAATTGGATAACATTCATAGATCAGGATTAAGTTTGAAACTAAAACATGTATTACACACTTGTAGTCAATGATTGAGATAGACGATTTTAAAAAAAGTGTTAATTAAGGCAGGTCGAGGTAGTAGTATGAACAAAAGAAGTCATACACTGTGTGGGTAATTAGACAAGGAACTGAATGAATAACAATTAATGACATACGTATTTATTGGCAAATATGTCCTAGCGCTACACCAATTCAACACTCGTTTTCAGATAGCGTATCTCGTGTTGAATTATATTTACTGTTGATAACTTCATACGTTATCAGACTACCAAGACTGGAATTATGAATTAATGACTTAAAATCAAGTTCTAAACGTAATTACAGACAAATGAAACGAACATAATCCAAAACCCTATGTCAAGAAAGCTTGTAGGGTAAATGCTCAAATCATGTATACATACGTGAATTAAACATGACTAGCATACTGGATGTAAATTTATATTCTGTAAAGCATATATATATATATATATATATATATATATATATATATATATATATATATATATATATATATATATATATATATATATATATATATATATTTATCTTTGATCAGATTGCTTGTAACTGATGTGGATATCAAGGCAGTCCTTACAGGATGCATATATGCCAATAAGGGACTGATCAATTGCAATATCAAACATCGATCGGAAGATTCAAGCAACCAATATAAAAATGAATTGAACTTCACGCCATCGCACATGCTAGTGGTTATCAGAGCTCAGTAGCTAAATGGATAACACGATGCGTTTGGAGCAAATGGTACTGGTTTCGAGTCCCGGAGTGAGCATCGACTCTGAGGTGTAGGTACATCCAGGTTACGAGTCCAAAACAGTCAGTAACAACGTAGAACTTCGTACGTACGTACATCAGTTCGAGTTGCCACACCACATTAGCACAGAGATGCAGTGGTCGATTTAAATCCCGTAGTGGTAGAGGTAATAAGAGTACAAGCAGTAATCGGAAAGATTAGTGTTTGGAGATGTTACTTAAGGAGTATAATACAGTGAGATAAACTTGGGAAGAGAAAAAAAGAGACAAGGTGGAATCAGGAGATCAAAATTTGGGAGAACACAAAGAGTGGATGCACCTGTGCCATTGCAAACGATTTTGTGCCATGTCATTCAAGGTCTCTAACCGCCCCTAGCTTACTTCCAACCTACTCCTATACCACCGAACATCGCACAAGTCCAAAACAAAATGAAACACGCGTCCTAGATTCCACGGATAGCTACCATCCATCTTTTCATATAAACTGCTAGTACTTAAAACATCTAAAGACTTGACTGCTGAGTTAATTTAGATAATTACATTTAAAAATTAGTTAGATTCGGAAAGGTGATTCGCGTACACTTCCCTGGAACGTCAGATGTCTGATTTGTCAAAAATAGTATCGAGGAAAACCCTAATCACATCACAGCTTTGTAATACTGAATGATCAAAGTACTTGAACAACATGTGAGAGAAATATTATTACCGAGGGACTATACATTTCGTAACATCCGTTAATAATTTATGAACAGCGAATTTCATACCATGATTAATAAGCCATTTGTTTTTGCATCTTTTCTAACTGATAGGCAACTAAAAGCAGACCCTCACTCACAAATGAACCATCCAGCCCAGAGAAAGAAACTCGTCATAGATTACTGTTTAATTTCGGCATTAAAGAAAGATTTTTAATCGCCATACTACTTAATAACCGGTCATGTTAAGTGTTAGGAAGCGAATTGATTTGTAAGGTAATAACAATGACATATAGAGTCTAATAAAACAGAATCATGGGCATAATAATTTATGACAACAGTAGTAGGCAGGACTAAATAAAAAAAATCGATGGCAGTTAATAAGTGCGCTGCTTCTATTGAAGATGAAATATCCTTAATGATCAGTCGTTCTAAAAAGCTATTTACAATAGAATCTAAATACGGTAATTTATAGTTAATTACATAATAAACCCAAATTATATTTTGTGAAATAGCACGAACTTTTTGTTGTACATATTATATCGATGCTTAAAATAAGAGTAATAATTCAAAATCCGAACTTACATGATCCCACCAACATTCTGAGAAATTTGGCAACTGATGCTCCAATGAGTATTCTAATACTTCAAAAGCAAAACTTAAGACGTTGCATATCCAATAATCTCGGAGGATTAATGTTTTAGCCCACCAGCCAACAAAATGAACTGTCACGAAGCCATCCATTTTTGACTAGATTTCCAGAAAAAAAACTATTTGAGATAAAATGTGTTTTATCAAGACAGTCGATAAATATCTGCTACACATCATGTTATTGTAAAAATACACACTTATATAGTGAGTGAAAGATATTGAATCAAAAATGTATTACAAGCTGGACAAGTTGATAAAAGCCGTAATTATCTCAAGAGTTCATCAGTTGCTAGTATACTAGTGATTTAGAATAGTGAAATAAAATTAATGATAATATCGATAATTTTATCTTATACGATTACACCTAACATAAAAGAAGACTAGTTGTGAAGTGCCATTTTTTATTCCGATGGTGATTAATGTGACAAGAGGCCAAAACGCATACGTTTGACGCTAATCACACACAACCCTTTTGTAAATATATTTGGCTGCATCAACTACGTACCATTCGGACTTAATCTCCTACTCCGAAAAATCCATGAAGAAACGGAGCATGTGTATTTTAAGGGTTAACCTTTTCTAAATCTTTCCTCTCTATATACAAAGTAGTATCCTTGAAGATGAGTTTTCTGTGAGGCACACCTTTCTAATATTATACCGCAGTACTGTCTGGAATAGATGGGATGCCTTTTCTCTTTCTACTATTAAACTCACCCGGTTGGTGTGGTGAAAAATGAAGCTAAATGTTTAATGCCGTATGTAATCTGGTAACAAATAAGATATAGACAAATGGTTAGATGGGTTTTCTTTATTTTATTGTTTTCGTATTTAAACACAAACTAAGTGTACAACTAATGAACACAGCTTGATTATGAAATTTACACAAGATAATTTTTACAGTAGCATCAAGAATTAAAAGAATTTAAACGAGATATAAACATTCAGTAATCCACTTTATATATACAAGTAAATTAATTCTTGTTTGCAATAGATTAGAGAGATTACACCTGTTACTCCCAATGGAGCATAGGCCGCCAACCAGCATTCTCCAACCCACTCTGTCCTGGGCCTCCTTTTCTAATTCCATCCAATTCTTGTTCATCTTTTTCATGTCTATTTTGTTTGCAATAACAAATTTATTAATCATTCTAATAGATTAAACATCTTTTTTTCCTAAAACAATAAAAACTACTAGTATTATCATGCTGACCTGAAGAGTCACGTACGCAAGTACATTTTTTGTTGTTGTTGTTGGATAAGTATATATAAATAAGGCTTACATAATGATGAATTATTATCATTATTACTATGCATAGTACATATTGTTAAGTCAGTAATCACTTTTCATAAAATATTAAGTAAACATTTTGCATTTGTCATAAATAGAAAAAAAAATAGATTCTACCGTTAAATATAATACATAACAATAATTATATGATGTTAATCAAATCTTATTGGATAACTTTTGTAAAACCGTATATAATTAAGAGAAAAAGTAGAAATATTTCCATTATAGAAAAAATATTGACCGTAAATTGACTATACAACCATATCAGAAAATTAGCAGAACTGTTTCATTCAAACTGAATTGAATCGAAACACCAGTAATATAAAAATAATCTCTTAACAACTCAAAAGGTATGTATTGACCAACCTACACGTTTACCATGAAAAGACAAATAATAATTTTTTTTTCAAATAAATACGATCTGAAAGCTTCAATAATAAAACAGATTTGTATGTCCAAGGTAAGGATGAAACTAAAAATCTATAGATGACACATTAATAATTAAAAATAGAAGCTAAAAGAACACCAAATGTAATGATCATACTTGGAAGCTGATAGATGGAGTAGTTGATTAAGCGCATGAATTTAGAAGTCTAGCCAATAGTATGAAGATACAGAGGAATAAATTTTATTTAGTAACGTTTACCGTCCAACAATCATAAATTCCATGTTTGTAGTTCACAACAAAAAAGTATGGTATTGTATTTATGGGACTGTATAGTTTATTTAAATATGTATTCTCTATCACGCTATACTACGCTACTGATTCCAACTTACTTTCCATAAACCGTTATATCTGTTTGACAAACTGAGATATATATATATCGTTTATGAGCATCAAATGAGAAGTAACAATAATCAAATGTTTATTTAATTCGTACTTCTATTTCATTATTTGTATTTTTATTTGTTTTAATTTGTAAGTGTAATTCTATACATGGAAAGACATGAATGTGTCTTTTAGCAATTTTTTCTCATAATTACTAAGCAAGTTTACTTCTTCACAAATCATGGGGTAAGTGAAAAGTAGCATACATTACATTTGAGCATATGACCATTTCGTTGTGTTTTTTTTATGTGTGAATAAATTTATGATACCAACAAAGATTTACAAATATATGAGCAATCTAAATGTTAATTGGAATCCGATAAATAATAACAAAGAATACGCATAATTGTATAACAATACAAAATGATGATGAGAAAATTAAAACGATAAAAACTATGGAAGTAAAAAGGAACTTATTACAAAAAGAAAGCAGAGGGGAATACACCAAAGATCACTAAAGACTACATATTTGGAATATCAACATCACTCATTACTTCCAGACTACAAAAACTACTAATAGTTTCCTAAAAAGAATTTACAATGTAAAAGAACACAATCTTATGATTTATTAATTTGAAAAGTTTATGATTTAAATGTATTGAATTACTTGTTTAGATTCATACTATCTATTTTGATTATACCGGTTCAGGAATTAAACACTAAAACAAAAATAAAGATTTACTTAATCTTTAGTCATGTATCTTAAACACGAACTGACTTTTTCTAAGGACAATTACAGGACAACTGTTTAACTTTCTGTAAAGTTATGGGTACGGATTAACAAGAAGTTTCAAAGAACCACTAGACAAATACTTAAGCGACCAATTACTATTACTGCTATTTACACAAAGTGTGTATTCGTATCAATCAGACTTCAGTAAGTGATTTAGGCACATATTACTAGTATACTGGTATGTACAACAAAGATAACACAAAGATGTGAATAAATAAGTAGTTGGAATTAGCTTTTTGAAATAAACTAAAGATCACCTGATTTTCTTATCAATTAACACGCATTAACTATTGACAATTGATTCAGTTTAGTGTTAAATTGGAAATAATAAAGCTCATAAATGTTTTATGAACGAAAAGAATTTGTCAGGACATTTGAAATATGAAAAGCATCATTTCAATTTTTATTGCAAGAGTAGCACTAATCATTTATTATTTTCTTCAAACGTATCTTTGCATATCAATATTGATAAGAACAAAAGTCTGTTTATGTGATGAAACAAATTGAATTGAAAAGCCGATATATATATATATATATATATATATATATATATATATAGGCATACAAATACCTAATTTTCATACAATGTCTACACCTAGTTATAATAAAGTTGGCATAGTTACCAAAACTGGCCATACTCCGCACTAATTAGATACAGTCAAATTATGACAAGGACTGTGAAGGTATAGTATAAGGACAAATCGATTCAATTGAAGGAAGATTCCTATATACGATGAAGCTTTTCATATATGAGATTGTTAGCATTAAAAAAGGATTTCATGGGACGTTTTGTTAAGAGATTTTAATAGCTCGAATGGAAAAGTAGTTTCTGTTCTACTCTGACAACAGTAGGACCATTGAAAACTAGGGGATATTAGAATAGATCCCTCAATGTGATATTCATTAACAATGTAAAACCCCCAGAGCTCACAAAATCGAGTCCAAAGCTTTTAAGTGAACGACAATAACTAACGAGAAATCAAAGCTTATATATTAATTATTTATTCCAAACAAGAAGTATTTTTAATAAATTGAATGTTTATACACTTTTCCAGTGTCTGCAGCTTACAACGTGACGTACTTATTCATTGATAAATGCCAAACACCATTACTGCTAATGTGGTGTATGTCATTTATGTCGACAGACATAAGTAGTATGTAACACCGATCGAAAGTGGAAAACCTGGCAGCAGAAGGCTAAGAAGATCAAGTTGAAGAGAATAGTGGGGAAGATAGAAAGGAATTAGGAACTGGAAGAATCACACAGGATGTGAAGGAGAAGTGATGGAAATTTGCTAACGAAGTATTCAGTGTACGCTCTCTATATTTTACCAAGATATTCTGGTTGCCCCCACCTGTGTTCTCATTCATTACACTAATACAACTAAAAATTATACTACAAAAATATCACAAAGATAAACAACACCTAATCATCAATCAAAGTAATTCTGCCCAAACGACAGATTGTGTTGGACAGACTGAAACAAACAACAACTAATAGACTATACATACTATACATACATACATTAATACACATATACATTTTCCTGCATACTAAATAGTGTTTTTTCTAATCAGCGAAGCCCTGAAACCCTATTATAGTGCATACTGGCCCACTATTGTAATATTGATCTGAAACTAACTTATATATTTCTGTGCATAAAAAACCATACAAAAAAACTTGGAAGGATGCATGTGATTAGCCTTAACACATATATGACATATACAAACGTGAGCATACAAAAAGACGAACCCATAGGTTATAAAAAATTGGCAATAAATGTAACACGTTAAATACTGACGATGACATTGTGCCATGGATTGTCTGGTCTATCCCAATCGTATATTCGGCAATTCCCACCATAATCCTTTTCTTCCAAAGGCTTACCAAGCTCTAAATCTAAGTAACGTAACCACTGACGAGCATCGTCTACACTCTAAATAATGGAATAATGTAAAAACAGTAAACAACAGCGAAAACCATGACATGAGACACAACAGTCAAAATTATAATAGAGAGCAAACCATTGAATGAAGGAACAATTTTTAAGGGTATATATATACAAGTAACATAAACGAAGTTTGGGAATGATGACCAAAAAGAAGTAACCACTGACGATCCATCAAGTCAAATTAAATTCATACTAGTTGACATCTTTTCTCCAGTGATAAGATCCAAAATCGACAACCAAATCACCATAATAAAAAGCTTAAAACCAGTATTAAACGATCGAAAATATCAAAAAGGAGATCAATGTATTATTTGCACTTATTTGTGAGCGATTTTACCCACCGAAATCAAGTTATTCAAATACGTTTGAATAATCTCATTTGATAAAATATAAAACGATTACAATTACGTTTCAGCTGTGCTTTACCAATATCCCAAGTAACCGTGGAATAATAATTTCCGGTCAGTATACTTATATTGATGGCAAATCAAATGAGTGAGTTAAAAATGAGTAGTAGCCCAGGGAAATTAATCAGATATGGGTTTTACTTTTATCACTGAAACAGTGAAGCACATTTTTAGCGGGTTTAAAGCATGTTCCGTGCAGAAATATGTTGGGGCACCCTGATTAGCTATTACCTAACCAATTGGCGTTAGCAGACTTGGAGAAGTCTCTAGAATCTTATGTAGAAATTATAAATATACTAATGTTTGTCTTATTGTGATTACTATTATCTACCCTCCTTATTTGGAATATAATTTCGTTCCTGTTAAACCGTGTTTTGATTTGAGGACTTTTCGAGTGAAGTAGTGTCCAAGAATATTAAGCAATAAGAGTGAATGGGTCGTAATACCAGAAATCATAACGACGAGGAAAAATGAAAACACATTCATGATACCGATATCAGATAACCAGCTCAACCGAATATTACAACAGTAAGCACAATGTGGTTGTTGGAGATTGACAAAACAGCTTAACATCCACTGCTCGAGTTCAGACGCCATTCCAAATACTTCTTTTGATGCAGTAGCCAGCAGTATCCCAAAGTTCAACTATAATCCCAAAAGTCGGAATACCTTGCTCACGTGGTTCAAGCGTTAAAAAGATACATTTAGAATAGGATTCTGAAGACAAGATGTCGCGTGGAAGATTGGATTGTTGATGCATACGTTGGAAAGTAATGAACATGCACGGTATACTGATCATATATTGCCGAATCTACCTCGAGAGGTCAGTTTCGTAGAAATGGTAACTTAACTGTCAGACACATTCGGTGAATCCTCATCACTGTTTAGTATTCGATATCAGTGTCCAAATTTGGTGAAACGTGAAGCCGATGAATTTGGTGCTCTAGCAGACGTCGTCAAAAGAGAGTATGAATAGTTACGCACATTGACAGAAGACCTATTTAAACGCTTAATATTCATCAAAGCTCTTCAGTCACCAAAGGTGCTGAGATCACGAATAGACCTTGAACTTGACTGGATCAAGATGTAAACGTCACACACAGTACATTGAAAGATAAGTGTAAACGGCTACAAAACATCAGACACGACAATGAGTTAAGTAAACAGGTAAATCCGAGTTTAACCTGCAGTAGTGTCAACGCTATTACTAGGTTAAATGCTCAGAAACCGATAACAACTTCTAACAAACCAATGATTGCCTATTGATTATGTGGTGATTGGCATTACGTACGATTCTGCCCATTTAAGAAGTCTAAATGTCAGGTGTGCAACAGACGTGAACATAAAGATCATTGTTCACTGAATCGTACGGCCCAACCCAAGAAACATAAACGTCCTCAACACGTGGTGAAACCAGCCGAATACAAAGCTTTTTCTCAGGTAGCAGCTTACCAAACAGACCATGAAATTCGGAGAAAGTATGTTGCTATCCAAATTAACTATATATGAAGTCTTCTTCAAATTGACACAGCATCCGATATTACCTTAGTGTCTAGAAAAACGTATAACCTGTTTGGGAAACCGATAATGAAACCATCTATGAAGAGTGCTAAAACTGGTTGGCGAATAACAGTGTGAATTTTCTTTCAATGAAGCTAACTGTAAATGAATATGCTAACAGAACGGTCGAACCTCGATCTTAATTTAGGTATGCTAGAAAAACTCGGAAGAATGGATATACTCACTAACAGTGTCTACAACGTGTTGTGTTCATCATTAGACACCCCGATCTTGCAAAAAGATAGCTAAAGGTTGTTACAGAAGCTGGAAAGAAATTTTGCCTGTTTTTTTCGGAACAGCCTTGGTCACTGCACCAAAATGAAATCAGATACCAAACAGGTTTCTCACTCGAGACGTCCTGTACCGTATGCTGCTCTTGAACTAGTTAAATATTTTACAACAAGCTGTTGTAATCCAACCGGTTAACTACTCTGCATGTGCCGCACAGTTCGTAGTGCTTAAGAAGGCCAACGGAGCTATAAGCATATGTGCCGATTTCTCAACCGGTTTCATTGGATGTATATCAGTATTCCTGAAAACCTGTTTGCTAAGCTTGGTGGTGGGACACGTTTCGCGAAAATAGACTTCTCCGATATATATATATATATATATATATATATATATATATATATATATATATATATATATATATGTTGTAACGGGTGTATGACTGCAGGTTATGATAAAGCAGCGTTTATATCGATCGATCGGTTACAGTGACACGTAAATACGTACGAACGACCTAGTGTCCTGATTGGCCCTGCTTCCCTGTCTACCCCAGCCAGTTGAGTCCAGAACGAAAGTCACAGCCTCTGAGATATGAATCATTATATTTCAAACACACTCTGTTTATATACTAACCAAGCAGACCACATCATACCATAAAAATAGGAAACAACATTTACACAATATTAAACAACTGAAGCAAATATCGACCAATAGGAAATGTACATTTAACGTCCAAGGACACCATTCGACTTGACACGATAATTATTGGCACATTCCTCTGCATACCTAACAATATATATATATATATATATATGCAAGTGGGAGTAGAAGATGATTGTAGATAGCTTCTTACTATCAACACTCGTCGAGGGTTATATCAATATAACCGCCCACCATTCGGTATCAAGACCGCGCCTGCCATTTTTCAGCAACTGATAGATACGATGTTAACAGGCATACCTGGAACAATAGCTTATCTAGATGATATCATAGTTATGGCAGTGAACTTTCTGATCGACTACATCAAGTTCTCAACTGAGTGATGGAGTATGGTTTCCAACTACGTGGAGAAAACTGTATCTTCATTGTCCATTCGATCAAATACCTTGGTTTCATCTTAGATTAGAACGGTCGCCAACATAGAAGCCATTCAGAAGGTGCCTGCACCAACTGATTTTGCTTCATTAAGATCGTTCCTGGAATTATTTAGTCATTACTGCACATTTCTGCCTGAAATGCATCAAATGAGAGATCCGCTGAATGAAATACGATCAAAAGACAAACCTTGGCAGTGGTTAGCATGATGTCAAGCATCTTACGACAAAGTCAAATCAATGCTCAGCTCAAAGCTTCTTTTAAAACACTTCGACCCCAGCTTGGGAATTGCTGTTGCCTCTAGTAATGTAGTTGGAGCAGTGATACCTCACGCGTTTCCGGACAAGCCGATTGCTCATGCTCATGTCTGCATCAGGTCCACCATGTTAATCAATCATGCTGCCCAGATATGAAAATGTTTTTGCATCTCCCATATCTTCTCCGTCAATTGTGATTGGATTGATGCATGCTGTGTTGGATCAGAGAATCTTGCTATTTTCTCTGTGCATGTTGAGACCTACTGTTGCTGAGACTGCTGCTACACTGGTCGTTTTCTCCTGCATTTGTTGTTGCGATTGCGGTAGGAGAGCCAGATCATCTGCAAAGTCTAGATCGTCCAACTGAATCCTAGATGTACACTGTATCCCATACTTACCCTCAGATGTTGACGTCTTCATGATCCAGTCGATCATCAGGAGAAGGAGTAAGAGTGAGAGTAGGCAACCTTGCCCAACACTGGTCTTTACCTGTGAGCTGTCCTCCATGCACGACTTTGCAGTTTGATCCATCATAGGAATTCCGTATGATATTGACTATATTTTCAGGTAATCCGTAGTGTCGAAGAAGCTTCCATAGTGTTGGCCCCGTCTTATAAGAAGTTAAATAGTTCCACATATTGGCGTGGCAATTGAAGATCAGCCCACAGAACTTCAGCAGTTTTACCGGCGCAGACTATCTCAATCTTCGATGACTGGCTTCTGTTTCTCGAACGTGTCATAATCCCAAAGAAGCTGCAACCAGCAGTGCTTGAACAGTTGCACACAGAACAAACTAGAACAAATTTCATGAAAGCACTAGCACAAAGTTATGTATACTGGCCGCACTTACACACTCGACTGAAGCAGCTATTCCGTTCGTGTACCAGATATGCATTAGCAACAAAAGTACCACGGAAAACATAGCTGCAACCATGGCCAATACCACAGTCACTGTGGCAACGTATGAACTTAGAGTTCGCTGGCCCAATTCATGGACATATTTACCTTTTGGTAGTTGGAACATACAGCAAGTGGCTAGAAATTCTTTTCATGGAACATCGAACTGCAAGCTCCACAATAAAGAAAAATTACGTCAACAAATAAGTTGTTTCGAGGTCCTAGTATTAATAGCTAGAGACAATGGAACACAGTTTACGTCTGCTATTTTCTCATAATTTCGTTGGTGAAACAGGATCGATTATGCCGAACACCTACATTTCATCTTCAATTCAATGGCCAAGTAGAACGTCTTGTTGGTACACTTATAAATGCTCTGAAGAAATCAAAAGAGAAGGGGACAACCGGAGATTTTACAGGTCCTTCAGTCAGTCAGTCAGTAACAACGTAGAACTTCGTACGTACGTACATCAGTTTGAGTTGCCACACCACATTAGCACAGAGATGCAGTGGTCGATTCAAATCCCGTAGTGGTAGAGGTAATAAGAGTATAAGCAGTAATCGGAAAGATTAGTGTTTGGAGATGTTACTTAAGGAGTATAATACAGTGAAATAAACTTGGGAAGAGAAAAAAAGAGACAAGGGGGAATCAGGAGATCAAAATTTGGGAGAACACGAAGAGTGGATGCACCTGCGCCATTGCAACGCAAAATCCTCTCCATCAGAAGCTTTACTTGGCAGAATAATGCGAACAAACTTTGACGCCATTCATTCGACGCCAGCTTTTGAGCCTCGACGAAAGAGATTGATGGAAAAGTAATTCAATCGACATCATGAGGTGCAAAGAAAATTGTTCACCCTGGATTAAAGTGTATTTGTTATGGACTATCGTGGCAAATACTCTACATGGATAGCTGGTCGAATCGTGCAAAAGAAAGGTTTACGAAGTGTCAGTTGGCTCAAACGTTTGGGTACGTCATGCTATCCAAGTGAAAGCAACTCCGACATCCAGCAACGAGACTCAACACAGAATACCTTCTGATGTTCTGTTAGGCACCTTTGAAATAGAAACCCCTGAAACAGACAGGCCCACCTCTGTGCAAGCAAAGAGTAATACCACTTCTTTATTTCCTAAAAGGTGGACAAATCAAAAGCACAGATCAGTCACGCGGATGCATTTCCACGGTTGGTGAAGACTGATAACCTTAACAACTCTCCTCTTCTTTTCATCAAATATCCTAAGCCTAAACCTTACCATTATTCATTTGGTGTTCCAACCAAACGTGAGCAATCCTTCAAAGACTGATATGATCAAACAGTTCCATTCTAAATACGTTTTCAAGTTTCTTTGGACATATCTTGCAGATGTGTAGTAATAAAAATTGGATTGTGTCGCCTTTTGTCTTACTGGTCATTTTTACCCCAAAAGTTACTTTCTGTTGTTCATAGCTTGTTGTTAATAAATAAGTTTTGATTTTTCAGTGTAAAACTTATCTTTTTGACAAAAAACATCCCTTTCATATGACGGCTCCAAATTCGATCAAATATTCTGCGTTTAAATAAAGTGATCAGTGGGAAACCTCGCACTTAAAAGTTATTATACAACTTTTTAACATTTTGTAAGCTTATAATCCATTTAGAAAGGATTAGTTAGTGGTAAATCAATATCTGTTGACGTATATTCCTCTGTATTTTGAGGAACATCATATCTCAAATGACACATGTAATTAATTATCGCCTTAGCCATCCAAACCCGGCATATAACGACCAATGATAGTTTTATTGTATTTTTCATGACAAAAGTACAACTCTTAGACGGACATTTCTTCATTTCAGTTATATGAAGCCGGGGAATATATATCAACATTTTTTAAGTAGCACACAGTGAGAAGCTGAGTTCGAAATAAAATTCCTCAGTTAATCAACCTAGTGAAAAGAAATAGAAATCCGCATAAATAATGAAATTCGTGCACAAGTTTAGAAGGTAAAATGTTGATCGATTAAGGCTTTTCTTCCCCAAACACGATAAACAAAAGTGACCTGATGCTCGAGAAAACAAGTTTATAAATCTTCAGAGCAGTAGCTGCGCAACGAGTTAAGTACAAGCAACTCAATACAAGCACCAGACAATTGATGTTTGTTAGTAAATGGTTCGTATTTAAATATCGTTCAAAACTGGTAAAATTGGAATCTAATTCACACTACTTACCTGAAATAACAGGAAAACTAGTATAAGCTCATATAGAATGCTAAGACAGAGTATAAAGCGCCAAAATGCTGGAAAAAAGGTAAAATTATAACTGATGAAACGATATAAAATGTAAATTATGTGTGGTGAACATATTTCACACACAAATTATACATAGGCACCAATCAAGGCACTACTAAAAGATTTCCAGTAACATTGGTAATGTGACTAATGTTTTACAAATTTTAGAGGCTGAGCAAAGGAGAGTTATAAAACATGTATGTTTTAATTTCAGAATTTGGAATCAATTTAAACACGTCTTAAAGAACGCAGAATCCCCACAAGGATCTTATATCCGACTTCGGTAATTATATGAACCAGGACTCACTAGTGAACAAGCAACAATTAGTAAGCTATCGGAAACCCTTGTGTCTAGGTCATCTTAGACACCGAAGGCTGTTTAACAAAAGTGTCGAAACTTAGAGAGTTTTGAATTATAAATGTCTGTTAGCGGAAGGGTCAGTGCTTTATTATCGTTCGTAGAACGTCAAATGAGTATTTACTAAGACTCATCTGAAAGAACCTGAAAATATCAAAATCAGTTACTCCAGCTATAGACTATACACTAAGTGCAGAATTATGTGCTCGGCTTTTAGCTACAATTTGTGTGAGGGACAGTGACACTATCCGGTTACAAAGATATTATTCCCCATCATCAAAACTCTTCTAAATTTCACTGGATTTGTGATACACTCGAATATCTATTTGGAAACACCATCAATGTGCCCACTAAATTACGGAAACTGCAAAGGACGATAAGCAGGATTATCGCCGATAATAATTATTAGAAAACGGGACAAAACATTTGAAAGTGAAAATAACACTATGAAAGGCCAAATTCATTAACACAACCAGATGAACACCGGAATCATAAAAGTAGTTAATTCAGAGGTGGTAATATATAAAAGAAAGATTGCAATGAAGATATAGTACAGGAAGAAAGAATTAGTTCGTAGAAAGAAAGATATGAAGTAATTTTAATCTCTTAGTTTAAGTGGAAATAGAGAGCGTATACACCGACGCTACCTTGACGTGGTGGTCGGGCTTGCCTATCGTGATGAAGCAACCGAGCTATACTGGCTGGAAAAACCGTTCCTCAAGGTCCTACCATGTCAGACAGGTCGATTGAAGAGCGGTAAGACTAAAAGCAACAAACCCAAGGTCCGAAGGCGAAGTCGTACTGCTGACTGTACAGAGGTGTGACAGCAGTAAGGTGTTTCCTTCAGACAACCAGCATGACAGCGATGTTGCCTTCCCACAAGGAGGGGTGGGGTTGGAAAAGGTCGACCCTAAAAATGCACACCTTGCCTTATCCCACGGATATCCGTCTCCGGCAGTAAGGTCTCAACAAGTAAGTCTCAACAAGCTAACACAAAAATTACCCATAGAAAGGTCGTGTGTGACCGGCCTCAAGCAGTTGTACCTTGGGCACAGCGGTCACGCTCCCAAGTCACTAAGACCACCTCTAATCCAATTTCCTTTTCAGGTACCTCCAGAATAACCCTTCCACGGTGTGGGCAACCGGGAAGTGATAACCGCCCTCATACCTCTAACAGCACCCAAGACCACTGTATTCATAATCAACCTTCCTCTTCAATTCCTATTATTCCTCCTACATCGACTTTCAACTCTAAATTTCCTCTTTCGGCTTCCTCCTCAAGTGTCACCATAGCCAACGATTCTAGTGTTCAAAACTCTGTCTCAGGTCTACTGAAACCTCTCTTCAAACTACACATTGGAGCTTTCAACGTACGCACCCTATGTCAAATCGGTCAGCAGGCTTCCTTGGCTAGAACCATAGAATCTCGTACCATTGATGTATGCTGTGTCTCAGAAACACGCATACAGGATTCCAGTGTGGTTATTCACTTGACCTCACCTCGGCAAAACGGAGAGCCGACGAGATACGCTCTCCGTGTATCTGGTGACCCGATGGCCAGTTCTCGTGGACTAGCAGGTGTAGGCATAGCATTAAGCATGAGGGCCGAACAAGCACTACTAGAGTGGATCCCCGTCAATAGTCGTTTATGTGCTGTTCGGCTAAACGGTTACGTAAGAACTCGGAAGGATAGGGACACACGTCGTTGCCTTTTTGTCGTTTCTGCCTACGCTCCCACTGACTGCAGCTCAGATGATGTGAAAGATGAATTTTACAGAAAGCTATCTGAACTTCTTCAGAAAGCTAAACGCCCAGATATAGTACTCGTGGGGGTGACTTTAATGCTCAGATAGGTAGCTTAAACCAAACAGAAAGGCATGTAGGTGGGTATTTTAGTATTCCGACGCAGAGAACAGATAATGGTGACCGTCTGCTGCAACTGTGCTTAGACAATCGTTTATTTTTAGCAAACACAAATTTTAAGCATAAGGAGAGACATCGTCTAACATCGCGACCCCATACACCAAACCAACGGTGAACTCAAATAGACCATATTGCCATCAGTCATCGTGAGAGAGGGTCGGTAGAGGATTATCGCTTATTCTGGAGTACCTGCTTGGACTCCGACCACGCTCTAATACGGGCACGCATCTGCTTGCGCCTCACTGGACGCAAAAAAGCCACAGTAAAAAGACCCATTAGAACTGAATTGAGTAGCGAGAAAACCAAAAATAGGTTCCAGGATGAACTGAGGTCACAATTAAGTAGTTCTGAAGACGAGGTTGACCCAGATGTTGCTTGGAAAGACATACAAGCAGCTGTGGAAACAGCAGTGCCATCTAACAGTGGTTTAAACCACAGGGTTACAAAGAACCAGTGGATTTCTTCAAAGTCTATCACACTGATGGATTCTCGTAAACTCGTCCCATCAGGTTCCGAACATGATGAAGAGCGACAACAAATCAGATCTAGGTTAAGAAAAAGTCTAAGAAACGACCGTAAGCAGTGGTGGGCAACGAAAACGAAAGAGATGGAAAAGGCAGCGACTATAGGGAACACAAGACAGCTTTACAGACTAATAAAAGAAACTGGAATTAATAAGTCAAGTGTAAGTGAGATTATATCGGAAAAAGACGATACACTCATCTGCTCCCAGTCCAGGCGTTTAGAACGATGGGCGGAACATTTCAGAGAACAGTTCAGCTGGCCTTCAGCTACTCAACACTCCATTCCCAGACAGCGTGGATGGAACATTGAAGTAGGTCCCCCAACTCATGCTGAAGTTCAAAAGGCTATAGATAATCTGAAACGAGGAAGGGCTGCTAATTCAGATGGACTGGCTCCAGAAGTCTTTAAGGATGGTGGTCCAATTTTAGCAAACAGGTTGACTAATATGTTAGCTAAGATCTGGGAGTTAAACGTTATTCCATCTGACTGGTCACAATCACTTATCGTCCTAATATATAAGAGAGGGTTAAAATCATCCTGTGACAACCATAGAGGGATTAGTTTAACTAATATAATATCTAAAATACTAGCCTCGATAATTATCAGACGCCTAACTAAGACTCATGAACTGCAAACACGAAAGAATCAAACTGGCTTCAGACCTGGTCGTGCCTGCATCGACCACATATTCACCATTCGTCAGGTTCTAGAACATAGGCATACTTATCGGCGTCCGACAATGGTGGTCCTTCTAGACATAAAAGCAGCATTTGACTCGGTAGACCGCGAGATTCTGTGACAGTGTCTGTCATCGAAAGGCATACCCCAGAAGTACATAAACCTTGTGAAGGCTATTTACTCGAACACTACCAGTCGAGTGAGAGCTTATGGCGAACTGTCATCTGCTTTTGCAACCTCAAGTGGTGTCCGTCAAGGCTGTCCACTTTCTCCAATTTTGTTTAACTTCATCATAGATCTACTGATGGAAATAACTTTCTCGTCTACTGAATTCTCGGGTATTGATCTCCTTCCAGGAGGTCCACTTATCGACTTAGAATACGCAGACGATATAGTCCTGTTTGGTGAAGACGCTGACAAAATGCAGAGTCTTTTGGTAGCACTAAGCAACAATGCTAGGATGTTTGGAATGCGCTTCTCTCTCCCTAAATGCAAGTTGTTGCTTCACGACTAGTCTGCGTCAACACCCGAACTAAGGATAGAGAGTGAATTAGTCGAACACGTTGACTTCACTTATGTTGGAAGTCTGATCAGCCCTAATGGGTTGGTGTCTGACGAAATCTCAGTACGGATTCGAAAAGCTCGTTTGGCTTTTGCCAACTTACGTCACGTATGGCGAAGGTGAGATATCCGTCTATCAATAAAAGGACAAGTATACTGCGCGGCAGTCCGTTATGTCTTAGTTTACGGCAGCGAAACATGGCCATTAAGAGTAGAAGACACTCGTAAGCTATTAGAATTTGACCACAGATGCCTTAGAAATATTGCTGGCATCTGCTGGGATCACATGTCAGTAATAGTGAGGTTGGACGCAAGGTATTAGGAAATGATGGCCCCCGAACGCCCTGGTACGGCCGAGAGTGGGGAGAGTCCGCTCTCCCTTTCGAAATACTCTCACACGGCTGTGCGTATATAGCCTCTGCCAGGGAAGTCCTACTCATTGCCTTCTCGTGGCGAGGGTGTTGTTTACGAAAATGAGAGGACGAAAAGCGAACGTCCGGCGCTTTAACCGGATCACAAACCAATGGTGCACATGGGCTCCAGTATCCTGCAGGAACAAATGGCGTATGAACCAATCGTTGGTCACCGGCTACCATGGGATTGCATCTCCTTACGATGCTCCACTGCCCTGTGGGTTAGACCATTAGGTCAAAGGCTCGGGGTGTGGCCCCCTAAGATAACCACCTGCTTCGGTTTGGGCACCCGGGCAGTATCACAGCCCACACACAAACGATGAACTCTATGTCTATGGCAACTACTTTTCTCGCTCCGATAAACAATCAATCGATTCAAATAATTATCATTACTATTATTGTCATTATTAATACTACTATTATTATTACCATTATTGTCATTATTATTATTATTATTATTATTATTATTATTATTTTCCACATTATTCACCCTCTTTTATACTTATACAGCGGCTCGTCTTTGGTGGAAATTCGACTATATCTAAACGTT